CTCTTGCCCTTCCTCTCCAGACAAAGCTGGAGAGAGCTTCAGTGATTACTGCCGCTTCATTGTCAAGGTGCGGAAAGGCATCTTATGCCTATGACCTGTTTCCATCCCCCACCCCAGCCAAATGGATACATTGTAACAATGTAATTTCCTCCATCCTGCCTGGGTCTGAAATACCTTTGCTCACTCATTTGGACTGAGAGAGAGCAAGATCTATAGCTCCAGCTGTTGCATCAGTAATGCAGCCCAGAGTAAATGGACAGTGAAACAGGGCCCTGAGCCACCCACTTTCCAGGTCTCTCTGGACTGCCTCTTCCATTAGGATGATCTCTCCTCCCCATGCAAAGTGAACCTGTTTCTTTCTCTCTTGGGTTCTTGATTTTCCTCTTAAACAAAAGCAGCCCCGGTCCAGGGGATTCCCCTACCCCATCTCTAGGATGGATTGTGCCTACCCAGTTTTGAAGCAGATGCTTGTTGGGTTTTACTCACTCCTGTTAGCTGGTTCCGAGAGGCCTATTGCCTTGTCACTGTCCCCCTTTTCTGTCAGACATCAGTGCCCTCTTCTGCCTATCACACTCAGAAGATGCAAAACCTCCTTAGATCCTAGAGGGATAAGGACCAGAAAAGTACTCAAACCCACCTGGGCCCTTCCTGGCAATGAGGTCCCAGATCTCTAAGAATTCCCCCTGGAGTCAGCTATGGCCGACCCTTCTCTGGATTCTGTCTTATCCATTGATTGCATGCCCCAGTGCCCTGTCTTTTTCTACTACCCTAGTCTTGTGCCTTGAATTTCCTCCTGCAAGTACCTTTAGTACATTGGTGATTTCTCTTTCAGAAAAGTTGAACACTCAAAAGACCAAGCCTTTGTTTTCCACCAAGACTCTGGGCAGAGAAAGGGAAGTGGGGAATTGGGAGTTTGTGGGAAATGGTGCTGGGTGGGAGATCTTGGCAAATATCCACCTCTGTTTGTCAGTAGGGTTCCTGGAAACTAACCCATTCTGAACCACTAATATACTGCAGCCAGGCTCTGCCATGTGACTTAATTTCTTATACTCCAGATCAGGGCAGAATCAGTAGAAAACCAGAACTTCACTGTGCATGTGTTTGGGTGGGAGAATATTCATGATCTCAGGGGTGGTGTATATGTGGGGGAATATATCACTCAGCAGAAAAAGCACATGATGAGTTGCAAGCATCTGGATGAGGTCAGAGATGTGATTCTTCCTCACACTTTTCATCCATGGCATGTGTCCCAATGCTTCTCTACAAGCAGTAGAGAAGAACTGGCACTAGCTCTAGCTCTATCCAGGACAGTTTGCAAACAGCCTGACCTACATCTTCTTTCCTTGACAGAAGGGAGCTTTGCTGGTTCAGCCAAACCTGAATTGATAGAGCAATTGGAAAGTGCCAGTGTCTGCAGGAGGCACTCTGTGTCGGAGACAGAACCCAGCTGGCCCAGCTACCTGTGTAGCTCAGGGCAAAAAGAGGGGGTTGGGGAGGAGTTGTTCATGGGAAGTGAAGGGAAGTGGAAAATGATGCGGGGTGGAGGGAGGGGAGGGAGCTCTCTGCGTGATATGTTTGGGGAGTATTTGCTGGTGGGGATTAAAGGATCAAGCTTGAGCCGGGAGAAGGAAATTAGAATCAAATCGGCTTCTAGTGTCTGCGGGAAATCAATGGGAGGATTTATAGCCGGTGAGGACAGCTGGGATAGAAATGCAGTGCAGTTTGTGGGAGGCAGAGAGCCCTCGTTGGGCCCTGCCTCACACACTTAGCACTCTGCCGAGCAGATCTTCTCTAGTGGAGATGGGTCCCATGACACCCTGCCTTCCTTCTACTGCTGACCCCCTCCTGGCTTCCTCTTCCTCCCTAGGGATGAGAGAGTCCAGTTCCTCCAGAACACGCTCATGGGTGGCAAGGCAGCTCCATCTGTTTGTTGTTTCAAGAAGAAAGATGATTATGCTGGAGATACTTTTCCGTAAACCTACCCCACTGCCACAGAGAGCATCAGGCAGCCAAGTGGAAGCACGTGGGCTGGAGATTAAACACCCTCCAGTCAACTGGAGTCCCACAGGTAGAGGCAGGCAGAGCCAGGCTCCCTCATTCTCTGTTTGTCTGCAGCTAAGGGGGCAGAATGTGAGTGGGAAGACTAAAGTGATGGGCTACTTTTTCTGCTCACTTGCCTGGGCAGAAGAGGGTGAAAGAACCTGCTTTAATAACATTACTGTAACTTCTTCTTCCAGCAGTAGACAAGCAGCAGCAGATTTGAGGCCTTCCAAGTCAGATTCCCAGTGGAGAAGAGATCTGGTTCATTCTACGTGCTTTTTGTTCACACACCTCTGCACCAGTCCTGGCACACACATGGTCAAAACAGCATGCAAGGTAAATCTCTCCCTTCAGGAATTTTAGTCTTACCCACTTCCATAGAGTAGTTCTGCCTTCAAGAATTGATTCTGACCAGAGCCCAAACCAGAGTGCAGATTCTTATGCTGATTACCCAGTTTCCCTCTCCATGGATTGTCCTGTAACTTAAAAAAGACATAATCTCATTAAGACTCAAAAGTTGTTCAGACACAAAGAAAAAGAATGTGGAAGCCTACAAGTGCCTCATGGTGAAGCCTGCCATCATAGTGCCTTACCTTTTCAGAGCAACTTTTGTTCAGGGCTTGCAAAATACTTCTCAAACACTGGGGGCTTGTCACTCAGTGTAGCTCCTTCAACTTAAGGGAATCTGTCCCAATTTACAGCAGGCCCTTGGTCACTGCACAATGTCAGTGCAAACTCTGTGGGCATTATTTATTCCAAGAGTGACCAACCTGTGGCACAAGTAGCTTCTGTGTGTGACATGCATCAGATCAGGGAGGGGAAACAGCACAGTGACAAATGGGGCAGGAAGCAGAAAACATAGCAACGGATCAGGTAGGGAATCCAGGACATGACATAAAAAACAGATGAGCAGATTGGGCATGGAGTACAAGGCAGGAAGAAGAAAGCAGAGCAGGCAGAGGAAAGGGATCAGAATGTCACTTGGGGAGAGTGCAGGGCTAATTTGTGGCACATCTGCCAAAAACTTTGGCCCCCACTAATTTGTCCCACTTAGAGCTAAGAAGCAGAGCAGTAAAGCAACTCCCCAAGTTTATGCAGTGACTCAGTGGCAGAGCCAAAAATGGAACCCTGGAGTCCTGCTTTGCATCAGCTTTTAAGTGTCTTGTGGGCTGTTTTGTGCAACTCAAAAGGCCTTTCGAACCATCAACATTACCAAGATGCCCTAAATGTACCCTGGCACGAACCCCTAGAATGTAAAAGGGCAGATTCTTTACTTCACTCTTCCCTATTGAGTGTCTGAAACCATAAATAACTTGCAAAGGAAGAGTTTTCCCATTGTAGACATTGTGTTGGGCAGCCATAGATGGCTGGTTACATCCCCCTGTTCTGCATAGAAGATGTAACAGGGGTTGGGTCCACAGCACATCTTGTTCCAGACATTTTGGCTCATGTTATAGCACTTAGGTGGCTGTTCTGTTTTAGCAAAGCCCGTTTGGTTGCTCAGGCTGTGATGGGAGACACTGGGTACCTGCAGCAAACCAGAAGGACAGCGATAGACCTTCCCCATGGCACCACTTCTTGAAAGCAGAGCATAGCCCCTACCCCCATGTTTTTGCACCCATGTGGGCTGGGAATAGGGAACTCATGGATAGTTGGAGTACTTTTAATGTGGACTTGGTAGGTCTGAGAGGGACTGAAGAGACTGGGATTGGTTTAGTCAAGGGGCTAAGGGGAAATGAATGACAGCCTGGAGATTCTTCTGAGGCTGCCTAGAATTCGGTGACGGTGCTGGGGTAAGATGGAGGGTGAGGGGGAGACAGCGAGGAGTGGTGTTGCCAGCTTGCATAGAGCTATGCCAACAGCTTCAAGAGCAGCTGACCTTCCCCAGATGCTGTTCCTCTATAACCCACCATGTTCTGTGTTTCCCCACAAGCCACAGCATGAGCAAGAAGTGGGGTCCCTTGGGTGACCGCACTCTGCTGAGAAGGGAAATGGCTCCTATGATTAGAGTCCTTGGAAGCCTTGGGGCTGTGGTTTCACAGTCACAGGGAGTGTTGGGTTGGGAGGGGGGGCGTTCAGCCACTAATGAAACCCAGAGCCAAGTCTCTGGGGGACTCTCTGAAGGGGAGGCAGCAAGTCAAGACTAAATGACGGCAATTAAATAAAAGCAAACCACCTGTAAATCCCCCGCCCTTTATTTGCATCTCTCCTCCATTGCATCTCTTCTGCATTTCTCCTTGCCCGCCGCCTCTCTCTTCCCTTTCTCTCCCTGGCTACTTTTCTGTGATACGTGTTCTCTTTCTCCTCATTTTTCAGCCTCTTTTTAAAGGCTTAATCTTTTTAAAGGCCCATTAACTTAATTTGGAAGTGGCAGCGGGGTCCAGTGAACACAGTACTGGACAGGGACTCTGGAGACCTGGGTTCTTTTCCTCCCAGCAGGATTTGTTCCGAAGTAAGCTTTCTGGGCACTACTGCAAGACAAATATGGGAGGTTTGCTTGCCTTTTCTTTTTGCTTTGCTTTTTCTCTACCAGTTCTCTTTTTGTTTTCGTGCTCTCGTACTCCCCTGTCACTGGTTCTTTTCTTGATTTTTTTTTTTTTTTTTTTTTTTTCCCTCTTCATGTTCCTTTCTGCCTTCACTCTTCCCCTTCCTTCGTCTGCTGTAGTATTCGCTTTCTCCCATGCCCTCCAGTACTGTAACATGGTCACCCAAGCAGTTTGAACCCATGCACCATCACCTTGCTAGTGGACAAAGATGAATCATATGGGACCTCCAGGATTATCTAGATAGAGCCTGCGGGATGGATCTGGTTCACAGAACCCTATGAGCTGGTCCCTGCTGCTGCCCCTGGGTCCAGAGCTGACTCAGCACATAGGTCACACACTGGAAACAGCATCATGAACAGGGCACAGGATGAATGCCACACATGGTGCCTGCTCCAGCCAACCCAGGACCCACACTGCATGCAGTGCCGTGTCGTCCCCCCCCCCCCAGTCCTGTGCACTGGATTGGGCATGGGGGTCAGGGGGTAGGTCCATGAGCCCAGTCTGGCCCATGGGGCTGGCCAGACACTATTCATCCACCCCTGATCTAGTCCAACCCACAAGGTGCCTTGAAAAAGAGGCACCTTCTGTCTGGCAGGAGCATCACTGTCAGATCCCACCTCCTCTGGGGCTTCTTTCAAGATAGGCTCACTCCAGGCTGTTAACCTTCCAGCTACCTGCTGCCCCAGGGCAGCTTATGCCTCAGAGCCTCCTGCACCACTCCGCTACTTTCAATCTACAGTGGGGGGCTGGTGGAGAAATAGCAGGAACTGCCTGTAAAATGGAGAAAGTTAATCATGAAGATAATTGAAACCAGAATCCTCTAGCCATTCACAGACAGCGAGCGGCTTTTTCTGAACCAATTAGAGGGAGGGGAATATTTTTTTAAAGCTGTGAAGCGGATCCATATGGGGGGAAAAGCATTTCCCAGGAACTTTAGCCTTGGCTCAATCATAAATGTCTCAACCTTTTCACTTCAAGTGTAAAGCAAGGGGGTTGGAAGGGGAAGCATTTGTTTGGCCTTTCCAAAGAGCATGCTTCCCTTTTGTCCAAGAGATGCCCACTGCTGATGGGCATGGCATGGTGATCTTCCTTTCCTGACCAGTGCCTGTGTAGTGGGTAGAGTATATGCCATTGGTAACTGTCTGAATGAGGAGGTCACAGGCTTTTGGTTTTGGGGCAGGACTTCTGGAGATCAGGGTTCACTTTCTGGCTCTGCTGTAGGTGTTCTTTGTCACCTTGGGCAAGTCACTTTGTTTCTTCTGTCTGGAAAGGCAGGACTGTCTTTGATACTCCTCCACCACCCTTTGCCCAGGGCACCTCTCTATCTCACTTAGCTGAGCCAAGGCAGTGCCATCACCCTCACTGTACAAACAAAGACCTATAGCACAGGCCTTGTAGCAAAGCAAGGACTTCAACCCACTTCTACGTTCCAGACAAGCCACAGCCCCATGTTGATGCTGCCAGGATACACAGAAAAAGAGCTGTGAGTTGCTCAGAGCCTTCAGCAGCATGCTGGGTGCCTAGACAGACAGGTGTTTGAGTTCAGGCCAGGCCCCTGCTCCAAGATGTGGTTGCTAAAATGAACGTTCCTAATGGCTTTGTGGAGCTAACACATGATGCTGGGCGCCATCCCTCTTGGTCTCTTGCTTGCTCTCTGCCCCATGGAGGCCAGGTGCTTGGCTGATCAAAGGGAGCAAAGACTTTGTTCCGCAGAGTGAGTTCCTGCATTTTGATTATGCTGGCAAGGGTCCATCGCTTTCTGTAAGCCAGCTGGGGGAGGGGCGCCTTCCCAGATGCACAGGAGGGAGAGTAAGTTCTTAGCATGCTTCTTCTTGCATGTGCTGGGGTCCCTTCATAGAACAATACATCATGTGGGCAATTAAGTGCCCATTTCAATTGCTGGGAAAGGGAAA